CCTGCAGGAAGTTCCTGACTAGCTCAGCCTCACCGGCCGCCTCCAACTTGCCCCGGGTGATCTGAGCTGCGACGTCGGCCGCGGTCCAGGAGCGCAGGTCCTCGTTCAGGGCGATGTAGTCGGTTCCGTCATAGGCGGACTGGTGGTACCCATGGAGGAGGCGGCCGTCGGGTCCCATTTCACAGCCATACATCAACTGGAGCGTGTGAGACCCTGACCCGCCCGGGGGGATTAAACAGAAACTAAGAGTAAACCGGGTCCAAGTCCCCGCGGGCTCCTCCCGGGTGTGTGCCAGGCGGATCCTGCCGCCTATGGGTGGGGGGGAGGGGTTGCGGTGAAACTCGCACTCGGACACTTGGGCGACCCCGGCCCGTCCGAGGGGATGGGGGTGGTGACCGGCCCCGGACCCCGTTGCTCACCGTCCCGGCTCTGGTTGTAGTAGCCGCGCAGGTTGTGCAGGCTCTCTAGGAAAATCTGTGCGGAGACCTTGGCGTTCCGGGTGCTCCTGACCCAATAGCCCGGCTCCTCCTGCTCCATCCACGGCGCCCGCGGCTCCGCCCTCTGACTCTCGGAGTCGCTGTCGAACCCCGTCCGGGGAAGGGGGGACAGGAGAGGGGAAGGGGCCCGGGAGACGGAACAGGGGCAGCGGGACGGAGAAGAGAGGGGTCAGGTCGGGGTGGGGTCTGGGTTGTGGGTGGGGGGGTGGAGACGCCCTTTCCCGGGGTCCTGCGCCCCCGCCGGGTGCCCTCGCTCCTCCTCCCCAGAGGCCATTCCCTCCCGACCCCGCACTCACCCGCCCAGGTCTGGGTCAGGGCCAGGGGCCCCCAGAGCAGCAGGAGGAGGACTGGGGACCCCCTGAGCAGCATCCTGCAGTTCTGGGGAGTCTGTGAGTCCTGGTGAGTCCGCAGAGACTTATAACTGGGGTCAAAGGTGACCCTGATTGGCTTCTATATCGCCTGAGACCTGGGACCTTGCCCTGACCCTGTCCCCTGCAGGGAGAGCTCTCAGTCACACCCTCTCCCTCAGTCCTGCCCAGGGGCTGTGTGAGAACCAGGGAGACTCCCCAGGCTGGGACCAGCCCTTTCCTCCCCTTCTCCTCCTGGAACCCCTCTCCCTGGAAGAGAAAAACTCCCCCTGGGACTTTGATGCCAGAGAGTGAACTCCCTGTGAGAGGAGGCGGAGGACAGGGTCTCCTCTGTAATCCTGGAGGAGCTGGGCCTGAAAAGACCAGTGAAGGGCAGGGGGACCACAGTCTTGGGAAGCCTGGACATCAGGAAGCTAATCTGTAAAATGAGTGATTTCAGAGGCTTCATATGCCAAGTGTCTAAACAGCCCTGCAGCCAGAGCTACAAAGCTCCTCAACTCTCCTTCCCACACAGGAAGAGTGTGGCTGGGGCTGTTACATTGTGCACTGACCTGCATTCCCCAGCCCTGAGCTGTCCCTGTGCGTCCCCCACACCCTCCCTACAGGAGCCCAGGGAGCATGTGTGACTGCATTTCAGCAGGGTCCTGTGCATCCTCACAGTCGCAGGT